GTGACTGCAGGCATGATATCTGTGGGGATGATTTTCTTCCTTTCAGGAAATCCTGAAGATCGCCATGGTAAATTTACATTTTTTCGATTAAGTGCCAAGTTTGTTGATTGAATGAACTATTGTCAATTTATTTATAAAAATTATATGAAAACATTTAAAAAACTTTTATGAAAATTCTTAATAGTGAATTTAAAAAAATTGTTTTATTAAGTAGGTATATTAATGAGCTTTAAAAAAAGTAAATAAATTAAATAGAGTTAATTTTGTCTAATTCAGAATCGAAAGGAAACTCAAAAGTAATTTTTGGAAGAAAAAAAAATTAACATCTATTGTGAATGTTACAAAGAGGTTTTTAATTGATGCCAGATCCAAGGAGCTTGTAAATGCTAGTACAAGACCCAAGAAAAAAATTAAAAGGGGTCAGATTTAAAGTTCTAGAACACAAACAAATTTACACACTTCATTTTGAGGAAAAGTTTGTGGGTTTTAGCAATTGTGCTTACATCCAGTGTGGTGCCTGGAACCCCAGGAACGAGGCACATGCATTAATTCATTTGGTATAACTGAAATGATTTGTGTAAGCATGTAAAATTTGTCTTTGAATTTGCAAAATTATCAGAACTCAGATATAAAGATCTAGAATCCTTAGCATATGCATTTCTTAAAAATGTTGGGAATATATCATCAGATTCCACAGGAAGGAAAAGCACTTCCTTGCCTCCACTTGTTGGCATGTTTTTATTAAATTTATTATTTGTTTTTCAATTGTTAAATAAAAAATAATTAATGTTAAAAAGAATACAAATTACTTTCTATATTTTGGATGTGGCATGTTACAACTCAACCCCTTTATTCAAGAAGTGAGAAACACGTTCAGAAACATGGTAAATTTTTGTTGAGAGAGAGAGCAGAACATTAAGTGTAAAAGTTTTAGTGTATGTCATTCTTCATACTTCACACAAAAACTAATGTTTCAGCATCACAGAGCATGGTGAAAGACGCATTGTGAAACTTAGATTTTGAGCTGTTATTTCATTTACTTGCATTACCAAGTGGCTACAATATTTAAATACTGTTGTCTGTAGCTGCCTTAGTCACTATTTCAGAAAAGACAATGTTATTTTGCAAATTGGAAGGAGAGATTGCCTTGCCTTGCCTGGTTGAATTCAATTTAATTAAAAATATTATACTTCTTTTTAAAAAGTTCTGGCAAAAGTATATTTATTGTATCAAATTATAGTTTAAGTTTTGTTTTCACTATTGAAGTAATTTTTGAAATATTGAATAAAGATATGTGTATGTAAAATATCCTGATAATTATGTAAATTACAGTATGCGAGAGCTCAAGATGATGTCGTTTCTCATTGTGTCACATCACTGAAGTACATTGACACTTTTCCAATTGATTATCATGCTTTCCGCAGCATTGAAGATAAATACTAATGATAGTTTTAGATCAAAGACATATTATTTCTTCTCTTAATTATTAATGTATATTTTGCTAACATATTAATGGTAATTTGTATTTTTAGTAATACTCAATGAATATATTAAATGTATTTAGAAATTTTATATATCCTGAACTAATATAATGTATTATTTTAATTTTTTTTTCTTCTTTTTTTTTTGTAGGTAACACTGTAACAACAGTTTCGGGTGTGCTTCTTTTAGCATCGTACATGGTTTTTGATAGTTTTACATCCAGTTGGCAAGGAGCTTTATTTTCCCAATATAACATGAGTTCAGTACAAATGATGTGTGGAGTAAACTTGTTCTCCTGCCTTTTCACTGCAGTATCTATTGCTCAGCAAAACGGCTTTGCTCATTCATTCCATTTTATGGCACAGGTTTGTAAACTAACTCTTCTAGTACTATAAGACACCTGATTTTGTAAATTCTGCTCTGAGAATATGCTAGGATATTGAAAATTATTTGAACAAATACATAGGCGGTTCAACAGGGTTTCCAGCCTGACCTAGACATCACTGATCAATGAGAAAATCTAAGCAGTTTATAGTCTTATCTCTAATTGTCATAATGTTATATGTTTGCAACTGTGAAAAGTGGGTTGAAATAAAGTATGATTAAGTTGAAAGTTTATGTAATATTTATCTTTCTATCATAAACATAAGTTCGTGAGGCCAGAAATGTATGGAACCTACCAAGTATATACATTTATTTTTGGGATGTCTGTAATAGATTATTTTTAGTTTACTTAAGTGTCATAGAGCCATTATCTGGAAGTTAATTCCTAAGACGTGATGTATTTTATTGTCATGAATGAGTGCAGTGGTATGCTATGATTGAATAATGATTTATTGCTTATGTGTCAGTTTTGTTGTGATTTACATTTAGTATGAGTATAGAACTCTAAAAAATAACTCTTATCACAGAAACAAAATGAATGAAATTGTGTTTAGAACATTACTGGGGAAAAACCCACTATTTTCTTGATAAAATTAGTAACATGTTGGCCTTTTTACCTCGTGGAAAATGTTAGTTCTTATTCATTGAGAGACATGTGGCTGCATATTAGCTTTTCTTAAATCATAGCAATGATCAGTAGCAAATTGTCCATGCGAAGCAATGCTATGTTGAATTTCCCAAATAATTCACTATCATTTCTCTCAATTGCTAAATGCTAGTTCCTGGTTTCTTCATGAATGTCAATATTAATATAATTACCTTTAATTTCAGTTCCCAAAATTTATTGTCGACTGCCTCATTCTGTCACTGTGTTCAGCAGCAGGACAGCTTTTTATTTTTTTCACTATTGCTCAGTTTGGTCCAGTTGTATTTGTTATTATTATGACTATTCGTCAGGTAAGTGCTAGTTATAACTGTCTAATTACTACTACTTGATACAGTTTTCTTTTAATTTAAATATCTTTAATAAAGACAATTGATTAAGCATTTGGTAAAAATAAGGGGAAATATGCAAATAAATTCAAATAATTAAATTCATGTGAGAAGTAAAATGTGGGGTAATTTTGATATAAAGCATATTAAAACAGTAAAACCACTCCTTTACACTTCTCACGGGACCCTAGGGAAAATGGTGTATATAAGGGGAAATTATTTTTATCATTAAAACTATGAGTACATTTAGAATGTATTTAGATACACAAAATCAATAAGTATTATAATGTGGTTTAATGTGAAGAATTAGGTATATAATAAACAATATTACAAGGTCAAATAGAAATCTGACTGAAATTTGTGAGAACAGAAATTGAAGGTGAACACCAAAATGTAGTGAATTTAAAATGATACTCATGAGTTCCTACCATAATTTTCATGGTAGCCTTTGATGATACAAAAATGTACTCATTGTTGGATGAAGGAAGGACAATGGTATTTCTACTGTAAGAAAAAATGTGAAATTTACATTTTCCCAACTCAATAAAACTTTTTTTTCTGCACTTCGTAATGATTTCCAACTAGCATTTTTTAAAATTTATTTATGATATAATAGATACGTTGGTTCAAGAAACGAATTTACAGTTAAAAGCGTGCCGAGAATCCCATACTTTGATGTTAAAGTTATTAAAGGATTTTTTGTTTTGTTTTGAATTTGCGGCATTTCCTAGCTCCGTAAGGAGCATTGAGCGCACTGTGGAGTAATCCTCCGTTAACATTTACAATTTTTTAATTGGAGTAATCCTCCGGTATTAAGCACCCTCTAGGAGCAGATGAGAAGTCAAGTCACAGATGGGAAAATATTACGTTTATTATACAATTAGAAAGTTTGAAATTGTGTAGGAGGATGATGTAAAATAAACAATTGATCACGAGACAAACTGTCTGTCTCGTCGTTGCGTTGACGCGCGTTACCTAACGCTGATGAAATCAGCTGCGTGGCTGCCTATGCCCAAGCGCGTCGTACATACGAAACATAAGGCTCTTGGCGACGTGCGTTGTGCTCACAACTCAAGCTAGAACGTAGATTTAGATTTATTTAGTCAAAAAACGTAAAAATTGTATGAGATTTGTGGGAGAGAAGATATGCGCACGTTTTCTTGAGTTATAGAATCCCTTCCCACCATTTTAACTATAAATAGTTGAAGAATGAGTAAAAATTAAAGATAAATAAAGAAACAAACAAATAAAAAATAAAGAAACAAACGAACAAACAAATAAAAATTACGTTAGGGAAGATAACGCGCGTCTAGCTTCCAACGTGCAACGCCCGCTAAGCGTCTAGTATTGGAAACGACGCACGTTTACTGACAAGCAAGCTTGTAAATTGCGAAAAAAAATAATCATAAATAATTTTTATATCGTAAAAGCGATGTGATTATAACATTGTGAATAAACGGAAGGCACTGGAACCGACGAGGAACACAAATGCTTGGAAAGCATTGCGGAAAAAGTTGCAGGAACGTAAAAGCGAAGTTTTAGTGAATATTTTGATCGGTATCATTTTCCTATCCTTTTTTGTAAACAAAATGATTCGTTGGTAAGAAATTCAGAGTGAGGGGTCATGTCGGGGTTATCTGAATGGTGTTTCAATGTATTCAATGGAAAAATGGCATTATTTAAATAACAATTTAAATACATTTTGGTGTAGCAATTTCCATTCATAGACTGTGTGTTCATGAGCTTTACTGTAGATATGAAAGAAAAAAGTATTATTTCAGCTAATATTTGAAATACTATGTAGCCCTAACAGTTCTGGAGGGAAACAAGAGAGCGCGAGAGCGAGCGAACGAGGGGGGGGGAGAGAGAGAGAGAGAGAGAGAGAGAGAGAGAGAGAGAGCTACAAAATGTGTTTGTGGGAAGTTATTTAGTTGCCAATAAACTTACTTATTCTATATTTTTCAAAATAGTTTCTTCATTAAACTTTTTCTATTTGGTTATAAATTTTTAGATAATGTTTAGAAATAGCCTAATTTTTTTACATTCATTTTTCTTCCATCAGGGTTTTGACGTATTAATTCTTTGAAAAAGTATGTTTCTAATGATTTTGAGTTTATTAACTTATTGATCTCTCTCCACAGGGTCTGGCAATACTCCTGTCGTGTATTATGTACCAACATCCTGTGACTGCTCTTGGAATTGTAGGAATAATTATTGTATTTATTTCTATATTTTTACGAATTTACTGTAATCAACGTATTAGGGCCCTCCGCAAACGAGCTCAAATTGCTAGCTCCATCAAAGAATAAAGAAAATTAATTGTTAGTGTTTCTCTGCCATTTATTCAATGAAGGGAAATAAATTATTTTAATTTTGTATTTAATAATATTCTATTGTATATATTAATTTGTAATGATACTGTGATGTCCAGATAATAGGAAACATTTTAAATGTAACATAAAAGAAATCTTTTATGAACATGTTTTGTGATTGACTACCTGTCCTATTAAATTTCCTCTGGATCCAGCCTTAAAGGTAAACGGTTGACATAAAAGTTTGGGGAAGTATTTTGAAACATCCTATGTAGTAGCGGTTTGATAATAGAGTAGTTTGTGGTTTTTATTTTTAATGTAGTAATTCTTTGAATTGTTAAATTTTCTTTTAACTACATTATTTTCATTTAGTTTTCAATTGTCTTAATTCTTTGTGAACAGGATGCCTAGCTTGTATATTTCTAAGGGAATATGGAAGAAATTGCATTGTCAAAAATATGTTGTTTAGTATGAAATCATGACAATAGTGAAGTACTTAATAAGAAAACTGCCACTACTCAATTCACTTATGCATGGTTATAGTCAAGAGGGGGAGGGCTGTAAAGTATAATCAACACACATTTTTACTTTTTCGAATACTGTCATGTAGAATAAAGAAAGTATTGTAAAGCTGCTGGAAAAAGTGCCAATTTTCAACAGAAATCCATATTTTGTGGGTCCTTGAAAAATCAATAATGGTCTTTAGTAAAACATCTGTATGTTTGTACCGCCTATGGAGAACTCCAATTTACTGAATTTTCTCTAAAAAGGATATTTCCTGGCCAATGTCACCTCACTTCATGCATTATGAATTTAAAATAATATTTGAAAAATGTCTCCCACTTCATTAATATTACAATAGAAGTAGGTTTTTATATTTTTTGGTGTAGTCACTTTTTTGACCATGTGGTCCTTTTGTTGACCCACCCACTTCAGCTTTCGTAATCTCTGCAGGTTCCTGGGGCATTCTGCTCCATCACCCTTCCCAAATTTTTTTTATGATGCCAGGATGGAGCTCTCTCCCTCCTTGGCTGCCAGATAGCCTGTTGGCTTATCTCAGCCAATTTTAAGGCTATTGTTTTGCCTCTAGGCACATGTCTCTTGAGTGTAACCAGTTCTATGGTAGAGTACCAAGTCTGAAACAGGAATTTGAGAGGTGATATGTGGTGAGTGAGGGTGCCCCACCATGCCACAACACACTATGTCCATATATTAGGCAGAGTTTGAACCCACAGCCTGAATGTATTGCGTACTTGGTGCCTGAAGCATTAGTTCCCTGTGCCACAGAGACTGGCCAGGAATGGAGGAAGGTGATGAATGGTACTTGGGAAAGCTCACTGCTACAACACACAAGCAAACATCTGTCAGATACAGGGCTAGAGCCCACTACCCTTCAAGCATGGACGGTCAAGATGCATTTGCCTTAATGACTCAGGAATCCAGGGCAGCTTGTATTCAATGCATTTGTAAGGATAATTGCTTGAAACAATATCTTTTTAAGTTTCTTGAAATATCAAAATTTTTCAGGTGTAAAGGAGCTTAAAATTGCATATTTTTGAAAACATTCAACATTATTTCATGACTCAATGAAGATTTCTGAAAATCTACTTAAGTTTTTCTCTGAGAAGTTCAATATAAAAAGATAGTTTGCTCTCCTATGATATTTTAACATTTCTATTAGATCAAAAATATGGGGGAAAAACAAGTTTTTGATTTAACATTATTTCCTCAAAATAAATATTACAGCTAAGAAAATAAACCATGGTGTTAATTAAAACTCTGTAAATATTTTATTCTATATCATTTTCTGTAAAGTTATTTAATTTTAAAAAATATGACAAATGAGTGTGTGACAGATAGTTGTCATAGGTAAAGAAACATGGGGCTATTGCATGGTGTCAATTGTCATTGAGGTACATGATTTTAATGTTGTGTAACATATTATGGGTTACATATGCATCAAATAGGTTAATTTTCCTTAAATTGCTATAATTTTTTTTTAATTATGATTATTTTACAAGAGTTTAATAAGGTCACAAATAGTATAGTCAGGTCAGCCAGTTTTGTAGCACAGGTTAGGGAGGGTGTCCCAAGTATGTGAGCATTAAGGTTGTGGGTTTGGAATCTGCATAAGGTGTGTATACTGCTACACAAGAAATCTGTATTGCTCCTCAGAATGTTTGCTACTGAAAGAAGTACTATTTATGCCTACTAAGACTATGAAGAAACTTGGTATGTTAATTTGGTCTTAATTTTTAATGTAAGAAAATCCATCTCTTACGATAGTGTTTTTTTAATGTGTATTATGACCACAATATGCCTAATATTAAAGATAAATGCCATATTTTATTGAATATAACCCCCACTCCTCAGGGTTTGTGATGAACATTTCTGGAAATTTCAGTAATTTTAAAATTTTGTACAGTTTTGGTCATAATAATGTTCTTTAAAAACGGCTCATTTGTGGCAATTTTGATCAGCGGGTTATAAGTTCAGGTGGGATATTGGAAATATGTTTGTAACATTGTTCGGAAAATTATATTACTTCATATTAAAGTTCTCGCCATTTTGGGGGAGGGTAGAAAAAGTGCTTATATTTGATAAAATATGGTATTACTTGTTTCATACAATTTTATATTTATTGTTCATTTTTTGGAAAAGTAGTGCATTTATTTCAGAAAATATGGTATCATTTATTTCAAAGGAATTTATATTTATATTGTTCAAATCCTGGACTTGTGATTTTTAAATAAGTTTCCAGAAACGTGATGCTTTCCCAAGAGACTTTTCCTAATTCCTAGTAAACTTCTCTTTTCCTAGTAAATTCATTTGCCATTGCCCATTTTCCCTGTTTCAACTGAAGGTTTCTAGAATTTGTAAACTGATATCTTCATATATTATCTTAAGGAGAATGATAATCCTGCAATGAAATTGTAAATAATGCTGGAAACATTACTTTTTTTAATGCATGGGGACATACATAGTCATTAAAATGTTGGGTTCTTTCATTTGAGCGTTAAAGTGACAAAAATGTTGAGTTCATTACGGTGACAATGGGACACGTTCGAGAAGCATGCCCTAGTCTGTTTTCTGCAAGCTCTCATATTAATCCAGCAAATTAAAAAAAGGAAAAAACGTAACTTAAATATTCTTATTTATGACCCATAAAAGTGACAAGCCATGATTTCACATTATAATACAGACACACAATTTGTCTGTGATCATTCATTTAATTTTTAAACCACAAACCACTTTCTATTTACACCAAAATATAAGGTAAAAATCAAGCGAGCACTGATGATTTGGAGAATCAGAATTACAATACTGATAATATTCTTCCATTCATTCAATTGTACAATTGCATTGTATTGAGAACGACGATAACAGGAACTACTGTATTATACACAACTGTATTGTTTACTAGATTTCAAATTATTGTACTTTACTACACTATCATTTACATGCTTATAAATACACAAACAAGCAACAGATAAATTTATATATCAAATATAATTAATTATTATTTATTTCTTCACTATATCTTGAACTTCTGTACTTTCTTTATACATGAACTACTTCAGATACCAAGAAATATTCATATATTATAATTGCCTCTAATAATGTGCCATAAGTTAACACATTAAGTGCTTTATCACATATTGAATATATTTTTCATTCGAAACTTAGTCACATTAACTTACATTCTCTTTTCTTTAAGGTAAGGTTGTATAAATCTTTCTAAAACATATCTTAAAAACACTTATATGAAAAACAATCAATTCAATTGTTTTAAAAAAAACCTGTACCTGTAGAGTTAATTTATCTCCTTCTACATTACAGTTAATATGAATTACAAAATATTCAACATTTTAATTTTATAAAACCAAACAAAATTTTAAAAAATTGAGAACAATGTGCAGTTTTTCAATATATCAAATTATTTGTTATTTTTTTGCATTACAAATACTTGTGCAAAATCATCATACTCATATGTTCGTTTTAGAAAAGTATCTGTGAACCGTACACCAGATACATTTTGTAAACCTGCTTCAATAGGGATAAGATTTAATTTAAAAAGCAGAGATGCACCAGGTTCAATTTTGGATTGTTGTTTTCCAGAAACTCCACTCCAAACAAGGCCTGAGTTATTACTGTGTTCCAACTCCAAGACTAGATCCACTGATCTCTCACATGTATTTATTACTTTAAAAACTATAACAAACACTTCTTCCAAATAAACTATATTTGGAATTTCTTGGATTGACAGTCTTATATCACCATAGTCGGGAGCCATTCGCTGCAACTGACTAGTTTGCAAACGACCTCTTCCTCCTAAATTTGAACGCCATACTATGTCCAATTTTCCTACATTTGTAGCACCACTTAAAAGACGAAGATCAGATGTCAGAGCAGCTTGAGGAGCCAAACAGTACAGGAATTGACGACTTGCATGAGGTTGAAGAACATTAACATGACCAAAGATAGATTCGCCACTGGCAGCTGAATTCAATGCAGTAACACTGAATAAGTGAGACGACTCCAATGTCACTTTCTCAAGACAGATGGGCCCAGATGTAATATTCTGAACTTGAGCTTCTAAGTATACTTCATCAGATTCAGCATTATAAAATTTTGTTTTCACATCCAATGGTTCCAATACTTGAAACTTGAAAAATTTACGAAAAGACAACCTAATGTTTGCAGTAGTTACATAGCTTACTTCACACACAAGAATGTGGACTCCAACTTCAGTGACCTCATGATGAATAACATCATCGAGAGTCTGTTGAGGATGAAGTTCTACAGTTTGAGGTTCTGAGGTGCTAGACAGAAGAAGACGCTGTGTGCTTGTTTGCAAATCTGCTTTCAAAGAAACATGTTTTGCAATCTGGTTACTGTCATTGTGCACACAAATGCAACTGGAAAAGGTTTCTCCCAAATAAATATTCCCAAAACTTTGTGGGAGCAACATAAACTGACCAGATATTAGGGTTTCCACAGAGGGCACAGCTGTAATATCCTGTTTTAGATCATTATTTAATAAATTATTCGGCAAGTCTCTGCTGTCACTCGTGACTATAACTGGACAGCAAAGGGTAGGTCTAGTAAGGCGCATAACTTTCAAAGCAAGAAGATGCTCAGCTTTTTCTTTTCCTTCCATTTCTTGACGATCTTTACAGTCGAATGTTTGTGTTTAAGGCCGAAATGGGCGTCGCTACCAGGAAACACGAATGTACATTTCAATTTCTATAGAAATTCGCATCCTATTACTCACTATTGGTAGGTTCAACAACTGTCACATTTAGGTCACATGTTATGTCTTGTCAACGATGACGTTCAGATACTGAACTTCAGGATGAAATTCAGACCAAGAGATGATTGGTTTTAGGGTATCACGGCAGGTTCCACATCCACTCACACGTAGGAGAGGTCCGAAGAGTCAGAACATCCGGATACGCACGCAGGATGTGCAGGATGTGTCAAATTCTGTGACCTGCTGTGACCGAATATACCGAAAGACCGAGTATACCGCTTCTTCATATCACGATTCTCATACACTGCTTCTCATTCATCGCAGAACGTTTATTCATACATTCACGATGTAAGAGATTTCCCAGAAACCGCAAGTCTTCATGTTGTAAGAAATTTTCGCCGTACCTCAGCTCTTCTCCGTTATCATAACGAACGAGAGAGAATCGGCACACTCCAGCGAGAACATGACGAACACAACGAACATAGTAGGTGGCCAGACTGGCCCACAAACTTCGTAGTTAATTCTCACGGATAGTCGTGCTGCGCTCGACATGGAGTAGCACTGAAATTAAACTGACAAGTGGTTGAAGTAATGACGTGTAATACGAGGGTTGCCTGTTATATTCCAGGATTAGAAAACAAAAACCAATATTAACTAATCGAAAATCACTTTTATTGTTTTCAAAATATTTCCCATGAAGATCTATACACTTTTGCATGCGTTGAAACGAATTGTCGAAGCACTTTTGCCAATTCTGATTGAGGTATCTCCAAAACGCATTCTGAATGCAGCAAACGCTTCTTCAGGTGTCTAAAAACGTTGACCTCTCAGTTTTTTGTTACGTACGGGAATAAAAAGAAGTCATTCGGTTGCCAAGTCGGGACTATACGGCGGATGACTCATCAAATCGATGTTTTGGGTTGCTCAAAAATGCAGTTGTTTGAGCCGATGTGTGGAAGAAGCTCGCATTGTCGTTGTGTAAGAGTGGATCCGTCTTCGGCGGTTGGTTTTCCTGATTTCTTGGAAGACACCTGGCAAACAAATCGTTGTGTACCACTCAGAATTGACTTGTTCTGCGTTGTTCTAGTGTCCACGATTGCGACGAGTCCAGTTTTCCGAAAAAACGGGCGACCATCTGTTTGGAAGTGCCTCGTGCGGGAACAAACTTTTTTGGGATTTGCTAATCTTGAAACACCCATAGAGTCGACTGCTGTTTATTTCGGGCTTCATACACGTAAATCCACGATTCATCACCTGTCACTATGTCATAGACGTGTTTCGAAGCACCCGACCGTATTTTTTAGCATTTCTTTCGACCAATCCGACACGAGCCTTCTTTTGAGCGATTGACAAAAGTGTGTTGGGATCCAACGCGAACAAACTATTTGACAGTCAAATGTTCATGGCAATATTGAATGTATGCTTGGTCCCACTAGATGCTAAGTGTTGCTCAATCTCACGATACGAGTAGGTCACATGACGATCTCTGCAATATCAGTTCACGGCACAGCATCAATGGTTTCGGAATTCAATGGTTTTTTTCAATTCAGTCAAACCTTAAATGGAAGCTCCATTTAAATAAATTGGAACACAAAGTAAGTTCTTTATGCCTACGCTTTCAGAATTCTTTCAAATTCAGTCAGGCCTCCACTCTGCTTGTTGTGTATATTTCGCGAATGTTCCATTCCCGCCTGGGAGATCGGCATAATATTCGGTTGGTGAAATACCTCTTATAGCCCCCAAAAACTTTCAGATACAAAAAATAATTGAACGAATAATAGCAAATCCTACCCAGGTGATTTTTGTAGCCTCTCTTTATTAAGCTAGGTATTTTTACCAATACCTTGTCTCTCATATATGGATCAGTGTTTTTATCAAAAATGACTTACTTAAGGGTGCAGAATATAATTTTTCAGCAAACGGCCTGTTGCCATAACTACAAACATCAGAGTAGTAATCATATTCATCAGGTAACAGTATCAACAGCTCACCCCCCCCCCCCCCCCCCCCCCCCTAGAAAAAAATCGCATACGAGAATATAAACATTTTCTCTGTGCCCACTAAAAATTGACAGTAGTTTTTTTACTGTCTCCACTAACTGTTTTAAAAAAATATTTACCCCCAAAAGAGCATTTCTTGTTGCTTTGAGCAACATGAGGAGGGTTCAGGCAATTACAACAATTTTACAATTATTCATTTTTAAATATTGGTCGATTCCTAATTGGCAAGTTAAGGCCAAATTTGTTCAACAGCCGAAAGTTTTAGTTGATGCCCGGTTTTCACAATTGCCACAATTATTAAAACCAATCTTTGGGAAGCACTGCTGACATCCATAATTAGCTTTTCGTAAATCTGTGGTCGAAATCAATGAGGACAAAGAGTACGCTTCAGGTTGCCTCCAATTGTCAAAGTGACCACGAATTATAAAAACCAAAGGAATGGTCTGCATTCTGACACCTACGTGGATATTTAGGATACGTAGGATTTTCCCCAAATGGATATACTCAGTCGCATCTGCTCTAATCATGCATTACATTTTTCACATATTGTATTTAAGAATTGTTTTATAAAATAATATTTTCGGTTCTAATTATTAGGGAAACCAAAAGATTGAGAAAATGTCAAAAAGGACTTATGGCGACGATAGATGACAACTGACAAAGGGTCGGCAAAACCCGAAAGCCAATCCACGACGGGAAATTAGAAAACTTTACTACGAGAAAGCCTTTGTCATTCTGTACGCACAGCTAATTACTTTCTCGTATACGTATCCATATAATAATGTAATATACATAGTGATGAGAGAAGTTCTGTAATACCGGTGCAAAAACACGCGGATTTTCTGCAGAAAAAAAGGCATTGCCGGGCTCGTGATTAACGAACTAGTGTTGCTTCAGAAGCACCAGACTATACCGTATAAGTTTTCGTTGGTCTCGGCTGTAGCTATTTAGACTTACCACATTTTCTTGCCAGCTGCCATCTATCGCCGCCCAAAAGTCATTCTGGTGCTCAGCTCGCCTTTCTTCAAGTCGCTCGCTCTTTCACCAAGGAGGCCCCGGCTCGATTTCCATCGAATCGAGTCGCACAATATGAGGTGAATTTGTTCGCAACAAAAACTCGTGTGGTGCTTCACAAGAGCTAGCTTCAACCCCGTGAAGTGTCTAAACCTACTCCAACCCTAATTCCTCCCCAATTCTGGCCGCTGGCCGCGTGACGCCAGGACGCGTTGTAAGGATGCGCGTATGCTACCTGGCAATTCCTTCTAACAAAATTGATGCGACGATTTATGACCCATATTAATAGGGGATTACTCCTGCGCAATTAGATGAGAGCGATTACTCAAAGTGCATAGCGCTCAAGGCACCCTCAAGGGGCTGGGAGACGCGGAACTTAGTGTAGTACAAAATGGAACAGACTTTCTCGTATTGGTTTTCTATTCTTCGTGGTCTCGGCTATGCTCTCGGACTTGCCACATACTCTTATCAGCGCCATTCTACCGCCCCAAAGCACGTTTGTTTTGACTTTTCTCTATTTTTCGGTTTCCTAATTATAGAGGGAATATATTTATTTTAAGATTATAAAAGAAACAGTTAAAACCTCGTTCTTATATGGCAAGTTTTTTGAAAAAATTGATCCGTTGTTAAAAAACTAGCGTTTAAGCAGTTACTGCAAATTAGAAATTTAAAGTTCTTTTCACAAAATCTTCTTGGGTTTCGAAAAACTTCATTGAAATTCATACTAACTCACAAATACAATAGTGTTTACAAATGAGTAGAAAGTTGCATATCAGCGGCGTGATAAATGTTTTAAAAAAATTTACATTTGCGTAAATTTTGAAAAAATATTCCAGATGACCTTCACGTCCATAATAGAGAGTGCACTTAACACTATTCGTTTGAAAAGTTTGAAGAAAACCTGTTTTTTTTAAATGGCGTGTGAGCGTGTGTTGAAATGCTGAATTTTGAGCTAAGTTTTCATTGAAACGGTTGAGATTTCGAGCGCGTTTTAAGACATTATTTAAAGAGCATGAAACGTCCATAAAAATAATGTTAACAATTGCTGCTAGTGTAAATATTAACGCACGTGAGAGACAAGTCAAAAAATTAAATTTTTGTAATTTTTTTGAAGAAAAATAGAGCAAAACGGCGTTATGTAAACCTTATTAGGAGTGAATTTATAACAATCCTTACCAAATTAAAAAAAAGGTTTTTTAAAGGAAAAAAAAAAAAAATTGGGAGTGTTTCTAAAAAACGCTTGTTTGGTAATTTTTAAACTTGCACGCAATATTGCGCAAAAACTACTGAAATTTTCAAACGTTGCTACCCGACATTATATCTCTCTCTTTTTT